GGCGCGGGCCCGTGTGACGCATGCGCGCCGCCGCGCTGTCTCCCTGCGCCCCACGTGGTTCCTCCCCCGGCGGAGGCGCGCGGGGCTCCGGGGTCCCCCCTCCCGAGCCCCCGGCGCGCTCCGGGCTCCTTTTTCCCTACGTTTTCTCCGCGCGGGAGATGCGATTATCAAATCTCGTAATCCCTGCTGTCCCTCCCGCGGCTTTGGCACTTCCGCTTCCTGTCGTGCCCGCCGCGCCGCCGTCTCCACGCCCCCTTTGTTTCCAAAATGGCGCTGGGGCCCGTTTTGGGGGGGACACGGGCAGGGCGCCCCCTCTTTTATAGCCTTTTATGTAGACGGACTGTTTGGGGGCCCCCGCGTGGTGACGATGCTGGGGCTCCCCGTGCGCGCTGTTTTGGGGCACCCCCCCCTTTCCCGCCCGCCCGCGCGCGCCGTTGGGGATGGGGGTGCCGGGTCTGGAGCGGCCCGCTCGTGTCTTGCTAACGGCCTGGGGGAGAGGCCAGTGGTCAGCGCGACTCCCCCTTTCCCTTCCCGGCCCCCCTGGCCTCCCCGCACGTGTCCCCGCGTCGGGAGGTGGGGATCGCGGGCTGTGACCCTGAATGGCGCGGGGCCACGTGCGTCCCGCCTCGGAGACGGCGGGGTCGGGGCCCCCCAAGGCCTCCTAGACTGTGTGCGGGTTCCCCTCCGGCGTCGGGAGGTTGACAGCTGCGTCTTGTTAGTTTTGAGAAGCTGTAAGGAGGCCCACGAGCAGAGCTGGCCGGTGTGGCGTCGGGAATTAGATGCTAAGATGCTGGCAGGTTGGCAGTTCGAGCCCGCCCGCCTGCTGTTGTATTTATTTACAGCCCAGGACACCTGGTTGGGGAAGGGAGGTCGGTCCCCACCTGTTGGAATTGGCTCCGTAGCGCGCGTGCCTCTGCGCCTGCTTGAGGCTTGCTATTAAGAGTCATTGGTGGTCAGAACGTGCCATCACGTCCAGCAGGACCCTTAGCCACCCCGGTGACCTGCAGATCTGAGCGCTGTCCTCGCCTGTGACCGTCTCGCAGCTTCTGACAGGCTGCAGTTCAGCCCACCTCGTGGAGGGCTCGCCTGTCAGTGGCTGATGGTCCAGCTTGGAAAGCATGAGCAGAAGTGGTAATAGAATGATAGTGTTAGGAAGAGTAGTGCTCTGTGAGGGGCTGGACAGCGCACAGCAAAAACGGTGTTGCCTGGAGTCCAAATGCAGGGGCCAGAACCGCCCGCCTGGGATCCCCAAGGCTGTATTCCTTACCCGAGGAGGAGACCTTGAGAGTTTTTGTGCAACAGTGGTTGGATTTGAACAGCCTGACCATTTTTGGGGTTAGCTGTCAGGGGCTTAAGTGCTTTGCTGTGGGTAGTTGCAGCTAGGGGTCAGTGCTGGCCCGGGCAGGCTCAGCTGCTGGCGCTGCTGAAGTTAGTGTGTCCCCTCTGTTCCAGGAGGACTGGACTGGGAGGCACGGAATAGCCAAGCTGCTCTTCCCAGGCTGCCCGGCTGGGTACACCCCTGGGGGACACGTGCGAAGTGTCTGGATGGGCATCCCAGGGAGTAGTGTCCCCAGGCAGCTGCCCGCATGCTCACGGCCCGCAGTCGGAGGCCAACAGGCTGAGGTGCTTTGTGGGTGTGGTGCCTCACCAGCGCTGGGGGCCTGGGGAAAGGTCTAGAGGTGAAGGCGTTCCCTGGTGGCGAGGAGGAAAGCTGGGCTTAGCCAGCTGCATGCCCTGTGTCGGTGTCACAGAGCCTGGGATGGAGCAGTCTGTCCCTCTTGCTCTGGCGGCGTGCTCCTTGGTCCCTGTGTCCCCCCACCTGAGGCCTCAGGGCTGCCCTTAAGCTGAGAGAGGGAAGGGTGTTTTGGGCACACAGTCTTGAAGGGTTCATCCAGGATTGCTGATGAAGGGGTGCCTGCAGCTGTGGAGGTGGCTCTGTTCCCAGGGGCCCTGACCCCAAGTCTCTGAGGAGTTGCCTTCCTCTCCCGTTTCCCACACACCCAGCAGCCAGCCCGGCATCAGTGACCCCGTCTCTGCTCTCTGCTGGTCGGGGCTGCTCTGCTTCCGAGCCTCTCAGTGTCCGCGACAGTCTGTGTGCTTCCTCCAGTTCAGGCCTCAGAGGCGGTCATTCATGTCCCCTCTTTGGCCTGTCTGTATCCGAGAGGGTGGCAGGAGCTTCGCTGAGCCTGCCGGGCCTGGGGGTGGCTCTCAGCTGGCCCCCTGGGACAGAACCCCCTGGCGGGGTGCAGAGGCCTGTCGGCTGCTGGGTTCTCGCCCTCCACGCCCTCACACTCACCCTCGAGTGCTCGGTGAGCCTTCTGTCCTTGGGTGGTGTTGTGTCTGCTTGATCACGAAAGGTCCTGCACTGTCCCCAGGGCTGTGTCCCCAGGGCTGTGTCGAAGCTTTGGCCCGTCTTCCTGAGCTACAGGGGCGCTCAGGTCGAGCCTTCTCCCTGCTGCTTGCTGCTGGGCAGCTGTGTGGCTGCATTCCCTGTAGATCCTACAGCGGGGTGCCGTGTGGGGTGCTGCTCCTGTGTCCTCTGAACAGCACTCAAGGCTCACCACGACAGGTGGACCCCTGCGGCGTGGTGCCCCCACAGTGTCCCCAGTGCCCCATGCCCTCAGTGTCCTCTGGGTCTGGGGAGTGTCCGGGTGTCTCGGGGACCCCAGTGTTCTCTGTGTCTTGGGGGGGTCTGGACATCCTGATGCCTCTGAAGCAAGGACAGGGTTCCCAGGCGCTCCGACCCAGCGCTCTGGGCCCCAGCTTTGCTTGGGCAGGGCCTCCCCGCTTGTCCTGCGGGTGCTCCCATCCCTCCTGGCTCTGCTGTGGGGTCAGATGGGCGCTGGGCCCCACTCCCCCTCCGTCCTGCAGGTTCTGAGCTGAGCTGCTCCTGTTGGCGCCCCCGCCCCCAGCTTGGGCCTGGCTGGAGAGGGCACAGCTCGGGACACACACACCACACACACACACACAACACACACACACACACACGCACCCCACACACACCACACACGCACACCACACACGCACTCGCAGCTTCTGACAGGCTGCAGTTCAGCCCACCTCGTGGAGGGCTCGCCTGTCAGTGGCTGATGGTCCGGGCTGTTGAGGAGGAGGGTGGGTGGCGAAGGCGGAACCTCATGACCTCCATCCAGCCTTAGAGGCTACCTGGAGGGACAGGTACATGAGGATGCTTCCGCCAGCCCGCCAGGGGGCGCGGGTGCCAGCCCGCCAGCTCCCGGAAGTGCGTCCTGCATCGCCTCGCGGGCCTGCGCTGTGGGATCGCGAGCAAGCGCGCCGCCGAGGTTGCTGGGGCAACCATAGACAGCGGGTTTGCCTAACGGTCCAGGATTAAATGTCTTCCCGAAGCCATTAAACAAACAAAAAAAAAAAGCGAAAGGTGCGAGGGGAAAGTGTCGCGCATGCGCGTGGGAGAGTATGGAAGGTGCGCTCTCTGGCGGGGAAGCGCGAAACAGCGCCTCCGAATGATTAGTGCGCAGGCGCAGGCCTTCTCGCGCACTTTTTTTTTTGGTGTTGCGCAGGCGCACTAAGCCGCGGTGGCAACCTCCGCAGCGGCCGCGCGCACCCTTCATCCTGTTCTTGTGTGGCGTAGCCTTCTTAAGCTTTCCGCGAGGTCGCCTCTTCTTCTCCCTCCTCATCCACAAAGCCAGGTGCTGGCAGTCAGGACTCATCCCATCCCTTACGTATTCCTTCCCCTGATCCGCCTCGCTCCCTTCTTCCCACCCTTTTCGGTTTCCGAAGACGGAAGGAGCCGAAGAGCCGACGGAAAAAGCCGAAGCGTCTCCCCGCGAGCGAGGCTCTCCCGAAGCGACGGCGGAAAGAGCCGAAGTTCTCCGAGAGGGGCTGAGTGAGCCAGTGCGATCTCCGGAAAGAGCCGAAGCTTGGGACTGAGCTTGAAATTTCTGGAAGGGCTCGAGGGCGAGTGCCAGGCGCCTTCTGGGCCACGGCTAGAATTGTCGCAAACGGCCTGGTGTCTGCAAAGGGCTGCGGGAGAAGAGCGAGGAGCCAGCGCTCGGGACAGTTTGAATTGGCGGAAGCCGAATCCTTCAAAGACAGGACTCGGGGCGGAGGATCGCGAGGAGCGACGGAAACACCCGAACGCCGAGGGGCCACCCTCGCCAGGCCGCCGAGGAGACCCTCGCTTCGGCCGATTCCGGAGGCGCCGAAGCCGCTGCCTCCGGCCCCCGGCTCAGCCGGGCCCCCGGGGGGAGGGGCCGCTCGCGGGCGGGCGGGCCGGGGCGGGCCGAGGGGCGGGGCCTCGCGTGCTCGCATAGGTAGGCGGCGCCCGAGTGCCGGCGGTGGCCGGAAGTAGCTGAAGCGGGCGGCGGAAATAGCCGAAGCGGCCGGAGCGGGCGGCAAGGCGAGGCGAGTGAGCTGCCCAGGGCCGTACGCGGCCGTCTCAGCATGTCGGACTTCGATGAGTTCGAGCGGCAGCTCAACGAGAATAAGCAAGGTGAGGACCCGGTGGCGGGGGGCCGAGGGGCGGCGGTTGGGGCGGCTATC